ATGTTCATTGTTGAAATATTGGAATAGTAATATTGGTCATTGAATTATGAAGTACATGATAGAGTATATATAGGAGAGACTCCTAACACAACTAGGAATAGAGAATAGAAACTAACTAACATACAACATCTACCACAAATAGGATTAGGAAGCTGACTAATAATGAAACACTACCATAACCAATACTACAAGAAGTACTATTATTATTATTGTCTAACATTCCCCCTCAAGCTGAACTCTGGCTCAAGCAAGAGGAAGTTTGGACACTAGCTGGCATGGAAACTGGAAACTTTGAGAAGAGAGAAGTCTGACATGCGTCGGTGGCAGCTCACGTCGTTGGAGAAGAGAGAAGTGTGGCGCGCGTTGGTGGCTGCTGACGTCGTTGGAGAAGAGAGAAATTGACGTGCGCTATTAGCTGCTGACGTCGGTGAAGAAGAGAGAAGGTTGACGTGCACTTGTAGCTGCTGACGTCGAAGAAGAAGAGAGAAGGCTACTGGAGATGCATGTTTGACTGAAGATCCTTGACATTTTTTGTCTTTGTCTTGGATCCGGGCAATGCCCTATTTCTTTATTGAAGAGGTGTAGAGGTATTCTTTCCTCTTTCACTACTTCTCCTTTTGGCTTTGCTTTTGTGTTGTTTTGTTTGGATTTTTATTGGTTCAACAAAAAAGAAAGAGAATGAAGGTTGATAATTAGAATGGGTGATTTGAGAGAGAAAAAAAAGTGGGTTAAGAATTGGTGATGAAAAAAAGATATGGGTTTGAGATTTTGATATGGTGAATTTGAGAGAAACGACAATCATTTTTTTACTATTTTTTGAGAAGATAGGATGAGTTGAGAGAGTTTGTGAGGATTTGAGTTTTTTTTGAAAACCATGGAGATGATAAGAGAGAAGTTCCTCCTTTGATGGTTTTTTTGTGTGATTTCAACAAGGATTTTTTCTTTTTTTTTTTCTTTTCATTTGAATAGAGGAGTTGATTTGAGGATAAAAGAAGGAAAAGAAAATAGAGGTGAATAGGGTGGAGCCGCCATCGCAAGAATTACCGACGGTGGCGACGGAAGCAAATAACTCTTTTAGGTCACCAAGAGCGGTGGCTCCGATACCATGTTGAAATATTGGAATAGTAATATTGGTCATTGAATTATGAAGTACATGATAGAGTATATATAGGAGAGACTCCTAACACAACTAGGAACAGAGAATAGAAACTAACTAACATACAACATCTACCACAAATAGGATTAGGAAGCTGACTAATAATGAAACACTACCATAACCAATACTACAAGAAGTACTATTATTATTATTGTCTAACATTCCCCCTCAAGCTGAACTCTGGCTCAAGCAAGAGGAAGCTTGGACACTAGCTGGCATGGAAACTGGAAACTTTGAGAAGAGAGAAGTCTGACAACATTCATTTAGATTAGTTCTTGGATATTTTAGGGTAACTCGAAGTATATTTTTTTAAAAAGATGGAACCTAGAAGTTCTGTATACAAAATTAAAGGTACATATAATAAGCAATTTTTGAGAAGATGGTGAAGTAAAGATAACAGTACAAGTGAATATGACAGAGTGATGGACGGAAAGTCCCTCTAGAGTTAGCTTTTGAATATTTTAACGCACCGGCCATTTCGGATCGCGAACCGGTGGTCCAACCGGTCCGATCAAAATCCCCTCCAACATTATGTAAAATTACAATGCAAAGAAACGGATTCACACAACAAATTGACGTATAGTTAAGTCAATACTCAAATTCTTCATAAATACCAAAAAAATATGTCTATCTATGTTTGGACCACCAATTCGCGCTCATAATCAACTAATACCTCATGCCATTGTTTTTCCCACTCTTTGGGCTCAAGGTAATGATTCCATATCACATGATTAAGCCTTGTCAAGAAGACCTGATCTTTGGCTAGTTCTTTGTCAACTTTGGCCGTAATCTTGTTCGTAATATGCCACATACAGAGACGATGGGTTGTCTTTGGGAATACTTCTGGAATAGCAATAGCCATAGAAGCATCTTGGTCAGTGATTATGCATTGCGGGGCATGGCCCATTGCATCAAGGAAGCAATTGAACAACCACATGTATGAAGGAACATCTTCTCTGCGCAGCAGACCAGCTGCAAAAGTAACACACCTGTGGTGGTTGTCTACACCAGTGAATGGCGTAAAAACCATTTTGTACCTGCACCACGGGTAACACACCATCACCAAAGTAGTTCAAACACTGAAACCGTGTATTTAGTGCGTTACGTAAATATGATAATGCAGTACAAATTACAAAAAATGCGAAATAGTAAGAATATGTAAGAACAGAAGGTGTGCAACGCATATTGACAGGGCTAGTTTAACAGTATTATACTTATTCTTAAAGGCATAACAGAAGGCATTAAAGAATATACCTATTTGTGTTAAAGGTTGCGTCAAACGAAATGACGTCTCCAAACATTGCGTACTTCTTCCTAGCGATAGGATTGCACCAAAATACCCTGGTTAGCTGGTCACTCTCATCGACATCATAATCAAAGTGGAATGCAGAGCATGTTTGTTTCTTTCTGAATAGTTTGTCAATGAGCATCAGCGCTTGCAATGTATGCCTTCAAGTCCCGTTTGAAATTTTTAAAGTCAACGACAGTGGCACCGAAATTATTGTAGCCCCCAACTGATTCCTTAAACAATCTATATGACTTCATTGGCCCAATGTTCGCCTTTGCACAATTCAACATAAACTTCTTGTGGCCAATTTCTAAGTTTCTGTTGACTTTCAGAAAGGGTCTAGATGGAATGGACAGCATTGGATGGTTATGCGTTTCTATGAATGACGATATGGTGTACCCTACACCACCCACGAGCCTAAACGCCACACGCGCCTTGCAATCAACACGATTTGAAATGTGTCTCCTCTCTTTTGCCTTTGGAACTCCATCATCGTGAGTGGGTTTGTTAACAATTGGTGCAAAATGTTTATGACCCTCACGGTTGCATACAGCGTACCGCCAAACAACAATACCTGAAACCTTCAAATTAGTGCTTTTGCGAATATCAAAACCTGTCAGTGAGGCATATTGCTTGTAAAAGTTAAATCCGTCCTCTAAGGATTTGAACACCATTCCCACTTTAGGCTTGGAGTCTTCAAGGCAAGGAGGAATATATAAGTTGGATGAAGAAGAAATAATTTCTGTTGTATGGGGCGTGTCTTCGGTTGGAGAAGTAGATGTGTGCACTGCCGATAGAGAGATAAACGTGTTGATTAATGCACTACTTATATCTGATTATGCGATACAGGATGCAAAACAATGCGAAATAAAGTAACATATATGAATATATAAGCACAGAGGGTCTGCAACATCATGGAGCATGAATTCATGAAGTGTTTGAAATTGACCAAAAACATAATGAAAAGAAACCACAAACATACGAAGACCATGATTATGCAATACATGACACGGAACAGTACTCCAAAAAAACAAATACTTACAAATAATTTGAGAAGGATAAGAGAAGCATTCAAGAAACCAAATCAGTGGATCATATTTAATGCAGTAAGCAGACATGAAGGTGCAATACTCATTGCATAAAATGCGTAATAGAAATAAAAATAAAAAGCTCAAGCTGTACAAAATTGTGAAGTAGACTTTCATGAAGCTGTGAGAATTGTCGGGGAATGAATGAAAAGGAGAACACCAAAAAGCCAAATTCCGAACAACACAAATGTTTACATGTAATTTCACCTCGAAAGCAGAAGCATTCGTGAAGTCAACACAAATGTTTATATGAATCCTACGAACTCGAGCAGGCGTGCAAAATTTCCAGACGACATTTGCATAATTCTAAACATAACAAAACCAAAAAATTAAAACAAACTTGGAACCATGATAAAGAATCGATCAAGCAGCTGGAATCCCAAAATCGGACGATTGAGAGGTTTGTAAAACTAAAAAGTTGATAAATAAGGGAATTCATATCTGCGGAACCGATATGGAGGCAATGGGGAAAGTGAATCTGATCGTGAGCGTGAAATCAGGGATGAGGATGTTTAACGATGTTTAGCGTTTATCACTGTGACCGTAAAAAGACCCATATGCCCTGGCGATCAAATTAAGATCTGATTAGATCGGATGGTTTATATTCATTCTTATTTCTTTCATTAGATCCCTTTCTCACCAGAACCAAACACTATATATATATATATATATATATATATATATATATATATATAATTTTTAAAATATGCTAAAACCACCGGTTCGACCAGTTGAACCACTAGTTCAACCAGTGAACCAGTATTTTGACCGGTTCAGTCACTGGTCTAGTTCTGAAAACTATGGTTCTTACCACATAACGGAGGTTACTCAGCAGCAATATTTTGTAAAGAAAAATATGAAGGAGAACAACTTATATGGGAAAAGAAGAGCAATGCTAGGGGTACACCAAAAGTGTACCCCATTTCTACACCACCTCCTTCTCCACCACCCATTTAAATTAATTTTTTATTTATTTTTTTTGATTTTCTTGCCTAATTATGTGGACAAGGAGGGGGTGGGGGACAAATGGGGTACACCAAAGGTGTACCCCTAGCATTTTTCGGGAAAGAAACATGGTTAGATGCGTGAGGAAAAGTGAGAGAGAGGTGTGGATGAGATGACAATAAAATGTTCCTGAAGAGAATTTATTTATAGGATGTAAGACGATATAAAATCTGATCATTCCATCTACTTCCTTGAAAAATGATTGTCTAATTAGAGATTTATGCTTTTAAAAAAAATATGGTATAATCAAAATTTATTTAGATGATGTAAAATCATCCAAATAAGTTGTTCAGATCATTATTTCAAAGAATAAAATGATAAATATTTTTTGGCATGCACCTGAAATAACATTAATGAGTATAACTTAGTATATCGAGATCACTTTTCACATATGAAACAAGGCTAGTCAAATTACTTGATCGTCGTATGTAGAAGAATGCTCAAATAACTCCCCAAGATGAAAGAAAACACAACCATGCTAGGGGTACACCAAAAAGTGTATCCCAAGTTCTATCCCAAAAAAATGCAATAACGTTTTAACGGTTTTCACTAACACTTTTTTGTCAATGTAAGCCATCACGCTGGCATCACACTAGCACAAAATGTCGGTGTATGCCTTTGGGGTACAAAATATAGTACAAATTTTGGCGTACAAATAGTTTAATCCAAGAAAACAACTAGTGAAGCACCTCGAAGAAGTTGTCAGGTCTTGTCGTGCATGACCGATCACAGTCAACGACTTCATTCACGAACGAGCTTCATGAAACGTGGAGCACTTCATCTATGAGAATCAAAATACTGAGACTTTACACAAATAAAAATAATTTAATTTTTTCACATACTCTGTATTTAAGAGTCATATGATCTATACTGTACATCGAGTGTGTGCTGAACAATGTATACCCGATAAATATTCGTTTTGAATCTTTATTTGAAATTAATAGATCAAAATATTTTTTTTCCAACCATAACGTTCATTTTGAACCGTGAGTACATTTTAAAAAGGATTTCAATTTAAAAAAACTAACTGGACATATAAAGACCAATTTTTGTGGCCCATATATGATGATACCCGATATCAAGTTTTGGTGGCCTGTTGGATGCCAAGTTTTGGGCGGGAAACTGGTTTTATCTTTCTCCTCTTCTTCTTCGATTGAAACCTCTATTTCCCAAATTTTGCAGAAATTTGTTTGCTGGCCAAGGAAGCTCTAAAGCATGGAGGTGCAGAATACAGATACCGCGACGACCCCACTCTCGTGTCCCAGGACGGTGACCGTTCGCCGGAACCCTCGCCGCCGCGTTCGGGATACGCCATTGACGAACATCCCGCTCTCACTTCCCAAGCCAACCCCAGATCATCGCGACAACATTCCCTCTTTCCCCGTTCAAGAGATTCTGTCGATTGAAGTCGAAGAACAGCCGAAGATTGAGCCAGCAATTTCTGAAGAACGCCTTCCCGAGAATCTCAAGGTCTATTTGAGAATCCGGCCCCGGCCGGCGGTTATTCAGAACAATGCCGGAAAAAGGGCGAAGGCTGGAGCTGGAACTTTACACGCGAAGAATGTTTGGCCAAAAAACCCTAGAGAAAAGATCACTTCGGAGAAGAAGTTAAAATCGCCCAGAAAAGTTTGCTTAGTGGCTAACGATTCACACTCAGTTACGCTCGTACCGCCAGCGAAATTGCTAGACAGCAAGCGCATGAAATCAGAGGTTTATGAAGGGTTCTCTCACGTATTCTCCCCCGAGGCTTCTCAGGTCTTTCCCCCCCCTCCAACTTTCTTATTTATCAGTTTTTAAATTCATTGAATATCTTCAAAAAACAAAAGTCATTGAATCATTGATTGATCGAATTCAAAATGTATGGAACTGCATTGTAGAGGGAAGTATATGAGAAAATGGTTAATCCTCTGGTTGATGATCTTCTTCATGGAAAGAGTGGGATGCTGGCTGCTTTAGGCCCAAGTGGCTCTGGGAAAACCCACACAATATTTGGATCTGGGAAGGACCCGGGTATGGTCACACTTGCACTTCGACAGCTGTTCTCGGAAGAAAATGACGGGAGGACTGTATCATCAAGGTTCTTGTTTTTATTATATTCATGGCACCTTGTTCTAGGCAGTTGAATCTTTTACCATGCAAAAGCTTTTATTTACTTCTGTTTTGTGTTGAAAGTTGAAACATTAAGGACTCTTTATTGCCTATTGCAAAGTTCTGTAATGCTGAACTAATGCAATTGGAAGTCTAGTTGTTTGGAACTATTTTTGAAGATCATGTTCTGGTTATGTGGAGCCTTTTTCTTATAAAGAAAATAATTCTTGTGTTTGTTTTAAGGGAAACAATCTACTGTGGATTAAAAAGGCCACATTACTAGTGATCTTCCTCTCATTGAAGCATGTTGTTATAGACTTGGTAACTGGATATTTCATTTCTGTATTTATCATGGGCAATTATTTAGATTTTCATGTTCTGCCCTGGACAGGATTTTCCACCTCTCAATGTTTGAAATTAGTTCGGAGAAAGGGAAGTCTGAAAAGATTATTGATTTATCACTGGATGGTACTGATTTATGCACTCAACATACATCTATTAGAGGCGTGCAAGAGGTTTTATACCCGACTTCTCTATTCTTTAGCTTGGATTTTATTTCCATTCTAATGCTAAACAACTACATTTGTTTTATGCAATGCTACAGGCCAAAGTTAGTGACATACAGCAAGCTGAATCCATAATAGGCCATGGATTGTTAAGGCGTGCAACAGCCATGACCAATTCCAACAGTCAGTCTAGGTGATTGACTGCTACATAATCTTGTTTTTGAGCATTTATTTTAGCACACTTGATTTGTTGATATGTGTGTATGTGCATTCATACATTGTTCTTTCATTGCATTATTATTATTATTATATCCATTCAGTCGGTCTCAGTGCATAATAAACATTCGCTGTGGTCACGAAAAGGGCGATGGGGAAGTTGGTGAACATTCAAATGGCTCTACCTTGACAATAGTCGACCTTGCTGGGGCGGAGAGGGAAAAAAAGACTGGAAATCAGGTATCACTGGAATCCCTACAACTTAGTGGACTGGTGTCCACTAGACTACTTGATTGCTTTAAATATTGAAAATTTGAAGACTCATTAAACTCCATAGGCAGGAATGTTTTATTCGGTATCTTATCAAGTTATAACTTGTATTTTTTATTTTCTTATACAATTATACTCCCTCCATCCCTATATGAACAACATACTGGGAAGGTGCACCCTTATTGGGAAAATGAAATTGTGTGGTTGAAATTTATTTTAAAAAGGCAAGTACTCATGTCGACCTTATAGTTCTTTCTTTAGAAGGAAAGTAAGGGTCATTGTGTGACAGTGAAACAAGAAAATAGTGATGTTTATATTGGGATTTGGGATAGATGGAGGCATACCTGTGCATGCTGTTGCTCTTGTTCAAAGCCATGGCAGATTTATATTTTGGAAACCAGTGAAATAAAGACCGTGATGTATTTGAATTCATTGCATTTGCTGTTTCCTTTATGGTTATATGCTGCAATACTTTTTTTTTGACTGACAGTTTACCGACAACTGCATTTATATATAGGGGGCTAGGTTGCTTGAAAGTAATTTTATCAACAACACTTCAATGGTGTTTGGCCAGTGTTTGAGGGTATGTTTTTTTCAAGAATTCAAGTTTATTTACATGGTTTTGAATTTTGATATTAAGTGCAATCTAAATACTTTTGGTATGCAATTTTCTCTTTCTTTTGTACCCTTAAATTCTAATACTCCATTCCCTCCCTTTTTAGTTACCCAGTTTGAATGGACATGAGATCTACGAAAATGAAAATTGTGAGGTTGAAATTTATTTAGTAGATAAGTGAGTGAGTTTTTGAACAGGCAAACCAGGAAAAGGTGAAGATAATTCAGGGACAAAGGGATTATGTAACTTTGATCACTTTATTTATACAAAACATTCAATCATATATCCACATGCTTGTTTTTTAAGGGTTAAAGATGTTTTTAGTCCCTCTAAAATAAGAAAACCACATGAATTTAGAGGGACTAAACACAAAATATGTATGTAGTAAATTCTAAGGGGATCAAAACATAAATTTAGTTAAAAAACATATTAGAGTGACCAAATGCAAAATTCACTAACATTACAAGGACCAAAAACATATTTAACCCTCTTTTTAATTATATTGTCTCACCTACCCATAACCCATTGCAGTCTTTACTGGAACATCAGAAGAACCCCAAAAAGCCATTGCATAAACATTTCCAAAATTCCCTGGTAACATTTCTACATCCTATCCTCTTCCTTCAAATGTTTTTATCCTTGTATCAATTACAGAACTCCTTGGCAGGTGCTTTTTATTCGCCGAAGAATATTCATTAACTTCATTCGGCATTTTTTATTAATTTGAGATGATTATTTATGCATTTGATTTGTTACCTTTGATCAGTTGACAAGATACTTGAGAGATTATTTGGAGGGAAAGAAGCGGATGGCGTTGGTTTGTTCTTTGCACTTTATCTTATAATTACGTTTAGTATGAACTGTGTACTTGAGGAATATAAGTATGTTATACATTTATCCTCGCAAAATGCTATGCATGATTAATCTTGATAGTGAGTCAATGACATTGTAGTTGTTTCATTTTCCCTTTCAGCTTATTACTGCTAGATCTGAGGAAGAAGACTATATTGATACTTCTTTTCTGCTAAGGCAGGCTTCACCATACACAAAGATAAAGTATGATAGCTCTGTAAGAATTGTCTTCGATATCCCAATATGGGTTGCAAATGCTAATTATGCCTATGTTATATAGGTTTGACTGCAACGAAGAAGCAGTAAATATAAACTGCAATAAAAGGCTTCGACAGACACTGCCCATATCAAACCAACACAAAAGAATTAAGATGGGTGATATCGAATCTTGCAAGGTATGCAGTACTTAAATGTTCGCGTGCATGTGTGTCTATATATACTTGTGGACATGCGGTTGTAATTTTTTCTCTTTAAAATTGTAAATGCATATCTTTATCATTCATAACTCTTGAACTATTATCACTTCATTGCAGTCTGGTGGAAAAAAGAAGAAACAAGATTTCTTACTTTCAAAAGAAGGTAATGCAAAGTTCATACTCCCCCCTGTTTTGTACTATGTAGTGCATCTCTATATGGGGTCATTGCTCTAAAACAATTTGTTCGTGGATTGCATGTGTAGAACCTGCCATCGGAGGCGTTGAGGAAAACAAGTTGGAAAAAGTCAATGAGAGCTCTTCTCCTATAGTGTGTCAAACTAATACTAAAGCGAGAGATAGAGAATATCATGTCTTACTTGGGGTTTCTAAGGCAATATGGAAAGTCTTAAAGGACTATAAGAAAAAGCTTGAGGTTCTGACTTCATTATTTCAGTGTATGCGGGGGTTTCTAGAGTAGATAACCAAATATATATATATTAATAGTTGCTTATCAACAGGTTGCTGATAATGAAATATACAGCCTTAGGGCGGAACTGAATGAATTAAAAGATCGGCATTCGTCTAAAAGTATTGCTACATCTATGATGTTTCCCCCTGAAGATTGTCAATCAGTTGAAACATTGAAGGTACTCAAATAACAATAGCATGGGATAATCTATATTGTAGTATACTGTGTACTTAAACAATTACATTTATGAATATTTTTTATAGGCTATTGCAGTCTACATTATGCACCTTAAAACATACTTCCTCCTTCCCAAAAAAGTGATTACACTTTGATTGGCACAGAGTTTATGAAAGTTGTTGAAAAGTAAAAAGTACTCCGTATAAGGTTAGAATTTGTTTGGAGAGAGAATTGTTGGTAGCCACCATTCATTACCAAAAAAGTACGGTACTAATCAAGTGTAAGGTTTTTTTGAGACATCCAAATAAGGAAAGTGTAAAGAGTTTAATGGGATGGAAGGAGTATGATTTATAATTGCATATCCACAATGATTGTATCTCCTTCTGTTTAAAAATGTCACACAGGTTTCCTTGCCGAGAGCTTTTTCTATTGAATTTGTTTAATGCAAATTTCAGTTGCATAACTGCAGAAAGCTATACTAGTTCATATGATTGACTTTGCAGTTACAGATTTTTCATATTAGTAATCTTTTAAAAGTGAATCTTATTGATCTTCCCTTTTGCTTTTATTTTTGGTTGGGTAATGGGTGGTACTGGTCAGGATGATTCAGAACTTTCTTCATGTCAGCTACCATCATCCGAGCAGAGTGGAAATGAGGAGATATGCCATGAAAATGTAAGGCGGAAACCTTCCTCTGGTTTGGCATTAATTGAACTGGCATCAAAGACTTTTGTTGTCTTATTTAGTTATTACCTGAACAAGTACCAGTTCAAAGATCATGCGCATGCGGGGCAATATTTAGGCCATGTTTGCAAATTGGGGAATTGTTGGGAAAGGAAAAAATACTAATGAAAATGTTTGTGTGTGTATAAAGGAAAACCGAATTTGATAAAACATTTTGAGAATTTCCAGATATTTTGGTTTTTTAGTTTTTATATAATAGAAATATTTAAATAAAGTGAGTTTGAACATATATCATGAAATAGTAGTTTACTAAGTTTTAAGTAATATTGAGTTTCTCCCCACAATTTCTTAGAGTCCAAGTTTCCTTTCTTTTTTCCACCGTAGTTTTTTTCCGTAACATTTTCTGTGCACCAAACGGACCCTCAAGGTATCAATATTTAATTGGTTTAGATAATCTTGCAAACAGGATTCTGAAAATGAAGACTGCACTCTAAAACATGAACTTAAGGATGATTCAAAAAGCCCACTGTCTTCTCAAATCATATCATCAGCAGACATGCTCTTCTGTACTGAGGATCATTGTTCAGTTAACATTGGCGAGGTTTGGAGCACAGAATAGAGAACATATCTTATTGTGATTACTGATTACTCATATTATATTTGTATTATGCTATCTGTTATTTTTATTGCAATTGCAGGTGTGCTTTTCCCCCCATGTTGAGCATCCTGACATTTGACAAACTAATGTTGTTTATTTCTTTCTGATTGTTCTAAGATAAGAAATTTAGGATAGGCCTAGGTAGAAGTGAGTACCAAATATTACTGGAATAAAAATTACTCAAGATGTGTCTGGATTTTGGAAAATTCTAGGGAAATGAAAAAAATGGCAACTAAAGTTTATTATGTATATTTGTTTGTTTACTTTTTTTCTGTGTTTGTGTTTGAATTGAGTGTCTATTGGAAACCACATCTATACTTTTGAGTAAGGGTAAGGTCTATGTACATACACCCTCTCGAAGCTCTACTTTTTGTTGGATTTCTCTGGGTTTGATGATGATGATGATGATGATGATGTTGGTTTTATCATGAAAATGAAAAGAAAGATTAAATATGATATATCTTTTTAACATTTTTAAATATCACTCTAGATATCTTAGTGTTTATATAATTAAAATAAAATAAAATGCTTTTGGACATGTATCTCCAACAAATCTAAAGAGATTGAACCTATCTTTTATTTTCTTCCAAATCCTTTCCCTCTTAATTTCCTCCCTATAATAGTGAGATGGAAAATTAATTCAATAGAACTAATAAGCTATTGTTCATATAGGATCATCGTGTAAAGTCTCATGAAGATCCAAAGTTAGAAGATGCTATAGTGGAAGATTCTTCTTTGGAATGCGAAGCACGTGAAATCATTGTAAATTCGTGCCACTGCGCTGATCAGGACAATGAAAACCACAAAGAAAGAACAGGTGGTAAACAATGAGGCAACCTTTTTACTTCTTTTACTGCTTCTTTATCTACATAGATTGGTAATATGATATTTACTTGTTTTTTTATTAGATTCAATACGTGTAGAACCAGAACCCACTTCCAACTCTCCCCTGTCATCTCACAGCTTGAACCAGCCACAACATGACAACGAAAAGGTAAATTCACATTTATCTTGTTTTATGTATTTGGAAAAAACAATATTCACTTTTGATGATTTTTATGATTATGTACATCCAGTTACTCTCTTGTTTAATTCAGAGGCACGAGCATACCACATCACCAAAACCTGAAGATGTTGGGAAATGGAATGCATTAGAAGCTGTACCGAAACACACTTGTGGTTTTCCCAAAAATGCCGAGAAACCTAAAAGGTTTGCTTGAAGCAACACTATGAGAATGCTATTAACTCCTTTTTAAAAAGTTTCCAACTTTCAGTCCCATGGCTATAGTGCCATTCTCAATTTTGGTTCCCCATTTCTAATATTTATACATTTGGTTCACGACGATAGATTTCTTGTCACTTTTGTGTCTTATGACCCACTTACCCAGCCAGTTTCCAGTCGAATTTTCTTTTATACGTGACCTTGAAGGACTAAGTGATAAAGAGTCCATACTCTATGTTGTTGTGGGAATCAAATGTGTGAATGACATATTTGTCGTGGGACCAAAAGCGGTTTTTTTCCTTGTTCCTCCTATTGGATTTTAATAATAACTTTAACATCTTTTCCTATAACATTACATGTACTAACGTGACATGTTTAATTGGAACAGGAGACTCCAACCAGCTTCGGCCATCCTACTAAAAGATATTGGCAGCATAGTTGACTTTGTAGATGAGACTGAGAAGGTGAAGGTGAGACCTTTAAACAGTATAGCTTTCCCTTCTAGTTATCATTGCCCATTGCATAGCCCACAAAACTTCAGACCTCTTTCCCTTGTATGGATTCAATCACTATGTTTGTTTCAAGGAATTTTGGGAGAAAAAAAGGAAAATGGGTTTTCACTCATTTCCCTCACCAAAATGGAAGGAATTTGGTTTTCCCTTGTATTACATATTACATTTTGCCTTCTCATTTTCTTTTACTACCACTTTTCTTTTGTTTTCCTTTCCAACCAAACAAGAGAAACGGTTTTCCATCTCATTTTCTTTTCTTTTTCCCTTTCAAATTCCTTGAACCAAACAATAGTGTATAGGAATTTGTCGTTGTGTTACGTTCGTATTTGCGCGTTCCATAAGCAGCTCGATGGTTATGGTTTATGACTGACACCATGTAACTGCAGGGTGCTAAAGGAGAAAAGAAGGCAGCAACCCATGTGAAGAAGATGAATATAAGTAATGGCAGCTTATCTCTTCTTCGTTTGCTAACTAACCGAACTCGTTAGCTCTAAAATTGGGTATTCTGTTTTGTCCTTCCAAGTTAATACAAACCCACATTGTAAATCTGTAATTCATTGAGGGGATTGGATTCTAGATACTAGCCATCCCTATACTCTTCTACTCACAACTCTTGTTATATTATTAGAGCCGTTGGCACTGGTATCCAGTATCAATAGATGACACTCACTTATTTCAAGTGTTTCGGGTGCTCTGTACCCAAAATTGATGATTCTTACCCCCTAACTCACACCCAAACCCCTTATCGCCCCCCCACCCAGTCCTACCCCGCATCCCACCCTCTTTTACCCCTTCTAGATGTATGGCTATTATGTGTATTGTATATAGCCACACATTTAGAGGGGGTAAAAGGGGAATCTAGGGTGGAGGGCGAGGTTGGGACAAACTGGGGTGGGAGTTTGGTGGAGAATTTAAGGGGTGATTTAAGAAGGGTAAAATCATCAATTTTTCATTTGGAGCATCAGAAGTGCTCCAAATAAGCAAGTGTCTTCCGTAGACATTGGATGACAGTGTCAACAGAATCTTCCGATATTAGTAATGATAATAATTATATCCACTCTTCATATTTTTGGTTATCACATTTAGCTTGCTTTGTAAATAGGAGGAAGCCAGGCCTTATTACTTTTACACTATTAGACGTGAATAATGTGATAGATGTGAAACAATATTTTCACTCAAAAAAAAGTGTGAGGCGTGAATAATTTTAAGTATATGATTTTTATTTTATTATCCACTCCCATGAAGAAGGGGAGTAACACCTTTCACTTTATATCATGCAAAATACTATCTTGTCTTTGAATATCTATCTATTTTTTGTTGTCAAAATTAAAAAATTGTAACCACTAATTAAATAACACTTCCTTTCTTTTGATAACAATCCTTGTTGTCATAATATGATGCTTCCTACCCACTAACATATTTCTTGCCCCCAACTCTATTCGTTCTTTGCCTTCCACCCCAAAACGCCGATTGGCTACAGTAACCAATCGGCATATTGGATTGGGGGGGAGGGGGTTGCTCAGGTGGCAAGGAGGGGAATGGGGGTTTTGGGGGATATGAATAGGAATCATCAATTTTTTAAATAAAATTCTGTAAGTCCTATTGTCATATTATGATGACAATGGTTGTTGTCAAAAGAAGAAGTTGATTAAACAGATATGATACGAAGTATTAATTATTAATATAAAGCTAATTTTATTAGATTTTTTTATAAAATATTTTTAAAATATTATTTTATTTAATTAATAAATTATATATATTTATTTTGAATGTATGTCAAATATTGAAAATAATTTCGTGAAATATAATTTGATTTCCAACGCTTAGGTGTGAATTTGAAATTATAAATTCCCTTCTTAAAAGAGTCTTCGAGAAACTTACACGTTATCCACGTCTACTGCGATATAGGTATCCAATCAAATATCGCCACGCAGACCCGAAGCTACCATATCCGTCGGATCATCCACGCTGGCAACATTAACCGATAACACGTGGACGCACTCGACACGTCGAATCTTGTTCCCCCATCTCCATATATAATCCACTCACTGAGAATCCCCACTACTAAATTGCGAAGCAGAGAGTTTTCCGAGTGAGAGAGCAGAGATCGAGTCGCCGCCGGCAACAATGAGGAAGTGGACGGTCCCGGCCGTACTGTTTCTGTTTTGCCTTCTCTTAATTCTTCCGGATCAAGGTGAGTTTCCGATTATCCATCGCCATTTGTTTAATGCTTTATCGGATTTCTATCTGAGATTTAGACACTGAAATGTGTTCAGCTCGAAGAAGATTTGTAAATTAGGTGCGTGAAATCATACTTGTTCGTAAAAACTTGAATCATTTCTCCAAAGGAAATAGAGCTCTTTGTTTAGATCTTATAGAAATTTCTGGAATTCAATCGTGACTCACTTCTAACCAGATGAGAGAACTTGATTTTAATTGTTTTTCTGGAATCGATGTGTTAATTCATTACGTTTTGGATCTGGCATTCGTCAAATGCGAATTTCTTTTTCTGGTTTGGCTGTAGTCTAATTTCGAGTGTGGATATTGACTGATGATGATGCGTGACTTCTGCAGGACGGAAGATTCATGCCAATGCAGAAGATGAATCTGATGTACCCGTGGATCCGCCTAAGGTTGAGGAAAAGATAGGCGGGGTTCCTCATGGGTTATCTACTGATTCTGATGTGGTTAAAAGGTTGGCGAATGCGATGCTTCTATCTTGGTCCAGCTTGTGCTTTTTCCTATGTCTTGAGTGTAACTTGAATTTGTAATCCAGGGAATCTGAGTCCATGTCTAAGAGGACACTCCGAGCTAATGCGGAGAAATTTGAGTTCCAGGCTGAGGTTTCTCGGCTCATGGACATCCTTATCAATTCACTTTACAGCAATAAAGATATTTTCTTGAGGGAGCTGATCTCGAATGCTTCCGATGTGAGTGTTGTTTCATATTGTGGTTCTTCTTTGAAACGTGTTGGATAAAAACCTTAGTAATAACAACTTTCAATGTATTCAGGCATTGGACAAAATCAGATTCCTTTCACTCACTGACAAGGAAGTATTGGGTGAGGGTGATGATGCCAAGCTTGAGATCCAGGTTGGTAGTTTGTTTCTTTGTATTTTTTGAATAGAAAACATTATTAACAGTAATTTATGGGTTAAATATTTCTCTTTCATATGCTTTATAACGCAGATTAAATTGGATAAAGAAAAGAAAATCCTTTCAATTCGTGACAGAGGAATTGGGATGACAAAGGAGGATTTAATCAAGAATTTGGGAACCATTGCCAAATCTGGCACTTCAGGTATCTGTTTTGCAAATCTCGGATATGGAAAAGCAGTTCACTGCTAGCTGCGTACTTTATACTCTTCTCTGTAATTTGATATAATTAGTTATATGGTTGTTGTTTTGTTGTTCTGTACAGCATTTGTTGAGAAAATGCAGAAAAGTGGAGACCTTAACCTTATCGGACAATTTGGTGTTGGGTTCTACTCTGTCTATCTCGTGGCTGACTATGTAGAAGTTATTAGCAAACACAATGATGATAAGCAGTAAGTTCTACGATGATGTCCAATGAATTGAATGTGTGAACCTGTGCTCTTTTGTGACCTTAACAATTTTACATCCCCCAAATTTTCTTTCTTTCTCCATTTTCCTCCCCATTTTATTTCTTTTCCTGCCTCCTAACTGATAATCAAGGTTTCAAATTTTTCATAATATGATGTGAGTAATTGCTCCAAATCTCTGCCTTCAGATATGTTTGGGAATCAAAGGCTGATGGAGCCTTTGCAATTTCTGAGGATGAGTGGAATGAGCCACTTGGCCGTGGAACTGAAATCAGATTGCACCTTAGGGATGAAGCTGGTGAATACTTGGAACAGTCCAAATTAAAGGTGAGTAAAGAAGTAATTATGGTCTTAGCTCCTGCATAAAACATTCAGACTCACTGGTTCTTTTTATGGACTCTTTATACATTCGTTATATGATTCTGAGGCACAAATGGACAGCTAATTACTCGTATTTCTTGTGATATGGGTTGAAAAAATATTCTTCATTTTATTCTCATGTTTTAAAATGGCCATAGTTTTTAGCCTATTTGCATCTTTGATAGAAAAAATAGACTGAAACTTCATGTTTTTTTCTTAATAAATAAGAGTTCATGGTAGTTTAAGCTCCCTTAATACTTTTATTTTTATTGCTTGGTGCTGTCGTATGAAGATTGGAACCTCAAGATCAAGCTAACTGAGGACATTACCACTAAAAGGTAGTTTTGGCGGTTGATGATTAGGATGGAGACACAGTAGATTGTTTAGGCTTGTCTCTTTATTGCTGCTTGTGTTTAGTAGTTATAGGGCGTGCCTAGATATTTGCTCTTATGTGGACTTGGTTGTGCTGTCCTGTTCTTGATGCTTGCTTTTGTTTATTTTCCTATTCTCTCGCCTTTCTACTTTGATTTATTCCTTTAAGGTTGAAGGGGCTAGATTCGGGGTTTCTTTTGTGTGAAGGACAACCAGAACCCTGCTTCCTGTCACAGACTTCATTGATAGATCTATTTAATTTTATTCTTCCAAGTATTTATGTTTTCTCTACTTTCTACATTAGGACTTGGTGAAAAAGTATTCTGAGTTCATCAACTTCCCAATATCTCTCTGGGCAAGCAAAGAGGTGGAAAAGGAGGTTCCTGCTGATGAAGATGATACCGATGAAGAGGAAACATGTGCGTGCTTAACCTGATTATTTTTATGCAATGCATTTGGTTATATATTCTTCATGTGTCCTGGTTTCTCACTTTCAATGTTATGAACAGCTGAGACCAGCTCTTCTGAGGAAGAAGCAGAAGACGAAGAATCTGAGAAAGACGATGAAGAGAAAAAGCCAAAAACAAAGAAAGTGACGGAAACCACTTACGAATGGGAGCTTTTGAATGATGTTAAAGCTATATGGCTAAGGAACCCCAAGGAGGTGACAGAGGAAGAGTATGCGAAATTCTATCACTCTCTAGCCAAGGTAAATAAAATCAATATTTTACTTCTCTACACTGTATATGGGATGTTGGGCAGGGCATTAGCTGAAAGTTACATATTTACTTTGATGCAGGATTTCAGCGAGGAGAAGCCACTTGCATGGAGTCACTTCACTGCTGAAGGTGATGTTGAGTTCAAGGCTGTTCTATTTGTTCCACCCAAAGCTCCCCACGATTTATACGAGAGCTACTACAACGCAAAGAAATCCAACTTGAAGTTATATGTCCGGCGCGTCTTCATCTCTGATGAATTCGATGAATTGCTGCCCAAATACTTGAACTTTTTGTTGGTAATTCTCAGAGCACATTCACCTCGCTATTGTATTAAAAAATTGGTTCCGAGATTGACAGTCAACCTGATGGCTGTTGGTGTTTTTTTTCTTCCAGGGTCTCGTGGATTCTGACACACTACCATTGAATGTCTCAAGAGAAATGCTCCAGCAACACAGCAGCTTAAAAACCATCAAGAAGAAACTCATCCGCAAGGCTCTTGATATGATCCGTAGACTTGCCGAAGAGGATCCAGATGAATCTAGTGACAAGGACAAAGGTGGGGGGGGGGTCTTCTAACCTCCATCCAAACATAATCTTATTGTCTAACTGATTTTGATCGTTTTAATCACTCTATTCAACAGATGTTGAGGAATCTGGCAGTGATGATAAGAATGAGAAGAAAGGACAGTATGCGAAATTCTGGAATGAGTTTGGCAAGTCAATAAAGCTTGGAATCATAGAGGACGCCGCGAACAGGAACCGTTTGGCTAAACTTCTTCGTGTTGAGACGTAAGATAATGCCTTGTCTTCTTGTCAGATTTCTGCAACTCTTCAAAACCAAACCATCCATTCATGACTTGCTTCTTCATTTTATTGTTTTCAGAACAAAATCAGATGGTAAACTCATCTCCCTGGACCAGTACATCTCAAGGATGAAGGCAGGCCAGAAGGACATCTTCTATATCACTGGAACAAACAAAGAACAGCTGGAGAAATCTCCCTTCCTCGAAAGACTCAAAAAGAAAAACTATGAGGTATATAATACGGAGTAATAATAATAATAGTAGTAGTAGTAGTAGTAGTAGTAGTAATAATAATAATAATAATAATAATAATAATAATAATAATAATAATAATAATAATAATAATAATTAATAAACCATCCTCTAATTCGTGAATCATTCATTCATTTTCTCCAGGTCATCTTCTTCACGGATCCAGTGGACGAATACCTGATGCAATACCTGATGGACTACGAGGACAAGAAATTCCAGAACGTGTCCAAGGAGGGTCTGAAGATCAAGGACTCGAAAGACAAGGAGCTGAAGGAGTCATTCAAAGAGCTGACCAAGTGGTGGAAATCCGCCCTGGCAGCTGACAACGTGGATGATGTGAAGATCAGCAACCGTTTAGCCGACACGCCATGCGTGGTGGTGACCTCCAAGTACGGGTGGAGCGCGAACATGGAGAGGATCATGCAGTCCCAGACGCTGTCGGACGCGAACAAGCAGGCGTACATGAAGGGGAAGAGGGTGCTGGAGATCAACCCCCGGCACCCCATCATCAAAGAGCTCCGGGACAGAGTGGCGGCCGACCCGGAAGACGAGGCGGCGAAGGGGGCGGCTCAGCTCATGTACCAGACCGCGCTGATGGAGAGCGGGTTCCTGCTGAATGACCCCAAGGACTTCGCCTCCCGCATCTACAGCTCGGTGAAGTCGAGTCTGGACATCAGCGCCGACGCTGAGGTGGAGGAGGAGCAAGACGCGGCTGAGGAAGCTGAGCCGGAGGGTGGGAAAGAGGCGGCGGAGCCCAGTTCCTCCACCGGAGCTTCTTCTCCCAAAGAAGAGTCTTCTGAGGGAATCAAGGACGAGTTATAAGGCCGTTTAATTAACCGTTTGTCAGGCAAGAAAGAATTTGTTTGCCATCTTCTTTTGACTTTGTCTGCTTTAGTCTTTTTTTTTTAAGGGGGAGGGGTGACTTTTGTGCCATACGCTGTACTGTAAACAATGTTTTACCATGAATTTTTGTCTTTTATGAGAATTCTCTCTTTCACTAATGAGCCACAGTGGCTATTTCTACTTTTTATCTTCCAGCTTAATTTTTAGGGAAATGCTTGGTTCACAAACTCAAGCTTCACAAACTTCACAAACTTACCATTTCTGAACTTCGATAAAGAAAATTAAATAGTCTAAAATAATTTTAAAATGAGAATTTAAAGCATAAATAATAAGTTTGTGAAGTTTGTGATCTTTCTATTTGTGAACGTAGCATTGCCCTAATTTTTACTATGGGAATGATTGGAAGTGCATCCATTTTTGGCATTGATGTTACCTATTTTTGAATAAAAAGTGTACCAACTACGAAATATTGACACCATATTGTTTTTAGACTTGAAAACAAGTGAACAAGAGATCAAAAAAATAGGCCTTTACTTATATGGGTTGGGTTTAGAGACTTCTAAAGACTCGAGCATTTGCCAACACTGATGAAATTGCAATTCCACTAATACACGCGGGACGGTTATTATAGGATGGATGGACTAAAATGTCAAAAAAAAACTCACTCTTTCCAATTTTAGATTGTCTGTTTGCCTTTTTTCTTCGTTCCAAAATAAGTTGTCTGTTAATCGTTATTGTAAACTTTTAAAAGTAAAATACATAAACTACCTCTAAAATAAGACACTTTTATCCATCTTATCTTCTCACTCATTATCACTTTTCCTAAAAAGTAATGACAATTTTGAAAAATCAATTCTATTTTTTTCTTCCTTAAATATGTCCAAAAATTAAAATAGAAGATTTAAAACGGGACCAAAAGAGTATATTAGTACAATTGCTACTGAAAAAACGCTAGTCACCAATATGATAGTCATAACATACACAATTTTATTATTTGTGCATTAAAAAATAAAATGATTTTAAATAATTAGAAACTCAAAGTAGAAATTTAAATACAAATGACATATTTATGTTTTCTTGTGACCTGTGTTTATGACTGCATTTTTCAATGTTATTTCTTTACATTATAGGCAAATTATTCGTGTATCAAAGGTCTATGCTCCTTATATAAATCTTAGTGCATTTGTAGTATAAAAAACTGTGTCTTTTCAAAAAAATAGAATATCTACATGTAAACATGAAAAATGTGAGATGATTTTATTCTTATTCAATAATTAATGGTATTTTAGTAAATGAATATTCTTATTCAATAATTAATTAATTAAATTTTATATATGAAATTAAAATTAAAAGGTCTTATTCAGTGAAATGGATATTGTTCTACTCTTATATACCACAAGTACTTATAAGAATTAACAGTACTGAAGTCTGAAACTACTAAAAAAAAATTAGAGCTCATCTCTTTGGAGACAAATGTCTAACACGTCTCAAACAAAAAATGGATAAAAAAAACAGATACTGAGTATTAAAGATATACGCAGTGTCGGTTAATTTTTTTATTTTTTGATCGATATAATTGTTCACCATTTCTAAACCTACAAACCAAACAAGACCGTCCACGGTGCATCTATTCTAAAATACAGATATATAAAAAAAATCGAAAAATAAAAATTTCAGAATTGTCAAATTAAATTAGATTTTCATGGACTTTTTTGGGGCTAAATTAATTAGTGCCATGAAAATTTATTAAGACAAATAATATTCGTAATAAATTAATAAATATAATTATAATAATGACTAATGCTGTAGCGGTGTCTGAAGATGTGTGTCCTTTTCTTTGCTAACGCGTCTAGCTCTCATTGGTGACTGCATCTGCAAGTCACATGGGCCATGTTGGGAAACGGGCCAAAGTGGGCCCAATGATGGACCGCACGTCGACCCATCGCCTACCAGGCCGACAATGCAAGATGGGCCACGATGCGCGTTATAATAGCTGACACCTCACCTGCAAGATTGCCGTTAGGATGGCGACGGCAACGGTAACTGCCACGTGGACGCGGTGGATTGGATGCGCGCTGCCGCTGAAGTCCAACGCTCCATCGTATACCATCGAGCCGTCGGTGGCCGGTTGGGTTTGGTCTCCGCCGTTGGACACCGTACTCGGTGGAGTTGAAGACGATTTTTGGCTGCATTTGTTTTGGTAAAATGACGACGTCAGTCACATTCAAGTCTTCCATTCAAAAGACATCATAAAAAAAAAAGTAGATTAAAAAAACAAGGGAAATAATGTACCATTAAATAAATACCCTCTAAATTTTAAGAAATCATTAAAAAGAAAAATGATATACTTTTATCTTTAAATAGGACTTTTTGCCATGCCAAATTGCCAATATTACATTATGGAAAATGCTAGAGTCACAAACATATAGTAGTTCACAAACTTCACAAACTTGCATTTTGTGAATTTTAAAATAAAATACAGAGTATCTTTTATTATTTGAGTACATCTTATTTCTAGAAAAGTGTTAAAAAGGTAAGTTTGTGAATTTTGTGGACTGTTTGTTTGTGACTCTAACATTCTCTTACATTGTATATTACTCTCTCGTCCTAAAATGATCTTTTCAGTTTGGCTTGTGAGATTCGACTGATATTATTTTTAATTCAATTTATTTGATTATAGATGTAAAATTTAAAATAAAAATTATACTCTATATTTTAAAACTACATCAAAAATTTTATAAAACAAGAGGTAACATAACTATGTTATTTTATCAAATAACTAACGAAAATAAGTAAAGAAACTGAATAAAGTTTGACCATGTGAATAATTAATAAAAAAATTATTTTAGGACGGAAGGAGTATCATTTAATAATCCATATTATTTTTTGGTTTTATATGTTGACATTAATGAAATGGTAAGAGTCTTATTTTGTGAATAAGTATATACATGATTTTTTTTTTTATTTTTTTCTTATATGTTATTTATATTTTAGTTTTTCATTCCAAAAATTTTGGTCTAAAAAAATAATTCCCTGAAATAATAATAATAATAATAAACTAGAGTAATTAAATTTAGGAGAGACTCGGGATTGGCGCCGAACGTTGTTTAGCCAGAAGGAATATATTCGCCCTGGCCTGATGGCCCAACCCAAGACAGGGGATCTATTCTTTCAATTATGCCGTTTCACTATTTAAGTGCTTTATTATTGACCTAAATTTGTTTCGAAAAACATGCCTGTGATTCTATTAGCTTAGTCTCTAAATAAAAGTATTACTACGTGTCTCAAAATGAATTTCCTTGATATTTTTACAGCTTTTGATAATTTTTATTTATATGGATGATATGTATTTTTGAACGACGTAATTTATATGTAGTACGTAATACTTTTTATATCTACACTAATTTTTGATTGATACGACTTCAAAAGTGCTGAAAACTTGAACGTTTTTGAAAAGTGATTTCCATTGTAGGACAAAGGGAGTTATTTTTTCATTGTCTATCCAAAGGTGAGGACAATTTTTTTTTAGAATGTATCTTAATTTTGCAGATATGATTTTCTCGATATATTGTTCCCTTCGTCCCATTAAAAATCTAATTTTGATTTTAAAAATATTAGCAAAATAAAATTAAAACTTTAAATAATTTATACTTTAAGGTAGTGTTTGACAACTAGCATTTCATTTCAATTCATGCATTTCAATTCCAAAATTTAAAATCCTGAATTTCAAATGACAAGGAGAGGTGCATGAATTTCAAATTAAGCTTTGTTTTGAATGTAAATAATTTGATTCAAATCCAAATTCCAAATACTTAAATTTTCTAAACATGGAATTTAAGCCAAATCCGGATTTGAAATTCAAATCCATGTTCCCAAACATACCATAAAAAAATTGAAAGTTTTGTTGGGGCAACATAAAAGGCTAGTAAAAAGATTTATATGGTACAGTGGAAGTAAATTTGATGACAAATGGGAAAATTAAATGAGGCCAAAGGGAGTATGTAGTAATACCTACTAAGTGAATCATTTACCTTTCTTATGTTTAAAATTAATCTGAATCATTAAAGTTTATTAAACAATGACCTAAGAGTAATTTAAAATTTTAATGGGACACAACGAGTATTCACAATTTAGACTCTTTTAACAAAATTTGGACAATTTGTTACAGAAGCTAACAAATTTGGCAACATGGGCCGTAGTCAGATTAGTTACCCCATAGGGAATAAGTGACGTAGGAATGCATAGGCAAATGGGGCACGCAAAACTTGGACGGCTAAATTTAGAAGTTGTGTGTGTGAAAGGATGAGTGGGTCTTTGGATGCTAGTGTGTATTTAATTTAAGAAAAAATGCTAAAAGTAAATCAAAGATGTACCTCATTTGTCCCCCACTCCCTCCATTACCACATAACTGGGCAAGAACTTTAAAAAAAATTAAATAAATGAATTAAGTAAATTAATAAATTTTGATGTACCCCTACAATTTAAATTAATAACTGGGCATTGCTCTTAATTTAAATGCCTAGAAATCCCTACAATTTACACTTTTATTATGATTATCTTGAAATAAAATTTACTCCCTCTGTCTCATATTTTTTCTTCTCAGAGCATTTTTCCAGTTTCACGGGAATTTGTATTGACTTGTGTTTTTTATGGTCTATTTCATAAAATAAAATATTTTTGTCACTGCTTATTTTGTTGAACTTTTGAATATAAGTTTTAAATATATAAATTTTATGTTTCATTTCTATACCAATATCTAAACAAAATATATTGAAAAAAGGCAAAATTGACAAGAATACTCCCAAAAATTACAAATTTTACATAAATACTCCCAAAATTGTTTATTTACATCATTACTCCCACATTTGTCTATTATTTACATCATTGCTCCCAAATTTGGTAGTGATCATTAGTGTTACTTGGATGCGTTTTTTTTGCGCTAAGTGAACAGTTAAAATGCAGACATGTATTTTGTTCACTTTAATATACCAAATTCACCTCAACTTATTCTCTCCATCGACTTTCCCACGACTTAGTAAGCCTAATCATTGCCCTTATTTCCATCACTTTTTAATAAAATTTCAGATTTCAAACATCCTAAATCTTTTTAATGTTTAATATCAAATATGTTCATATTAATTTAATTTGAATTCAATAAAAAAGATGAAGAACCCCGTTTAAAAAGACACACCTGAGAAACACTGATGATGAAGCAATCACAGAGTAACGACGTAAATAATAGACAAATGTGGAAGTAACAATGTAAATAAACAAATTTGGGAGTATTTGTGTAAAATCTGTAATTTTTGGGAGTATTTTTGTGAATTTTGTGTTGAAAAAATTAGATATTATTCTTCGTTTTATGCAACGAGAAGAAAGATATGAGACGAAGGAGTATTATTTTCTACTTTCATAATTGATTACTATTCACAAAAGACCATAATTATTGTTTATTAATGATTAACTTAGAAAAACATCTTATTAGAAGAATCATTTTAAAAATTTACTACTCCGGGTATTAAATAACAGTTAACAATATACTCCGTATTTTGGTACTCCGTATTATATACCACGGAGTAACATAATTAGCATTATATTTGCATTCCAACTTTTATTTTCAACTTTTATTTTGGAAATAAAAGAATGAAATTATAGAGAAGGAATATGAGGAATTTACCTAACAAGCACTAAAACATAATGACTTTCCCTAAATAGCACTACATATGTTTTTCTTTTCAATGTAGTACTTTTAGTCATTATGCATTAGTCATTATTCAAGCAAAATTTCGCCATCACTGGATATTATGGACATTATAAGTGCTATTTAGAGAATAAAACAGTTTAAGTGATATTTTGGGAAATGACTTAAGTTTTAGTGTGCAAATATTTCAATATTTAATACCTGGTGGTTGGGGATGGGCAGAAGGTGATCACATAGTCGGCGCCGGAGCACGTGAAGGTGCTGGTCTTATCGTCGTAGGCGTAGCTGTAGGCGGTGGGGCACGCGCCTTTGAACATCTCCGAGTAACTCGACGGCTTGCAGACATCCGGTGTGCCGAACGCGCCGCTGCAGCAGTACTCCGGCTCGCCGAAAGCCTCGCACGCGCTCTTACACGCCACGACCGCCTCCCCCTCCGCGCTCGTCACCTTCAGCGCCGACGGGCAGAGCCCGTTCACGTCCACCCGGCAGCCCGTGGCGGAGCAGTTCGCACCGGATCCGCCTTGCGGCACCACCAGCATCGGGAGGTTGTACCCGTCCACGAGGCTGACGTCAAAGAAGTCCATCCCTCCGTCTCCGTTCAGCGTGAACTCCGCCAGCGTAGCCGGGGGAGCGGCGTTCCCGCCGCTGCATTCCAGCGTCCCGGAGCCGCAATCGCCGGTGACGCAGGCGAATTTCCCGGCGGAATCTTCCGCGCAGTATGTTCTGCCCCAGAATCGGCCTCCCCAGCTCGACGGAGCTTGGATCGTCCTCGATTCTCCCTTCTGCAACGCGAATCCGGTTGTTCCCAGCGGCGCAACTCCGGCGTTCGACAAAATTCCCGGCCAAATCGTCTGGTCGCACTTGTTCGTGAACGTGAAGGTCGCCGATGAATACGCCCCTATAAACCAATCAATCACACATTTCAGAAAACCCTAAACCTAATTGAACGCCCAAATCTACTGAAATTCAGAGGAATTGTTAGCAATAATCGATCTTCACCTGATAAAAACAGATCGCTGGAAGCGAGGAACAGAGCAACAAGGGAGAACAATCTCATTTCCGATAGATAATTGAGCTGTGGATAGTATAGATCTGCAATACTGAGCTTCTTCTTCTTCTTCTTCTCTGCAAAATCTTTAATCTTCTTCTTCTTCAGTCAGTAATGGCTGGCTTTGAGTTTTTCACCCAATTGGAGAGGTTTTAGGAAAGGTGGGTGGGAGGTCCATATATATAAGCGGAGGATAGGTGGGCCCCGTAACGTTCAAGATTGGGCGTAGTGGGGGAGAAGAAAGCAAGCGCGGCTAATGTAGCTGTTAAAGGGTGAGGTTGTAGTTGGCCTAGTGAAGGAATTTTACATGTATAGATCCCCTGGGCCTAGGGGTGGTCATAAAACTCCTTCCCTTACTAAAATACTCCGTATTTCATAATAGTTATGAAATTGTACCATTTTATTTAAAATTAATTTTTTTTATTCTGAACTCGTCTCGTCCTAATTTTAAATGCGACATCACCGGGATAACAATAAAGTGTACTGTTACATCCCGCTTATCCCAATTTATATACTCTTATAGTATGGTTATATAAATATATATAAAAAGTAATAAACATATATATAATTAAAATCTCGATATTTAATGTTTGGCCAAAAATATATAGTGAGTACTCTCGAGTAGGGAGTCCTATATTAGTAATTAGCTCAAACCTAGCATTCTTCCTATGTCAGTTATGCAATACTTCCTTTTAAATAATTTCGTTTTTATCTTTTTATATTGCCTTATTGTATAAGTTGTTGTAAGACATTCTTATTAAATATAATACTCTATTATTTATTAATTTTCATAATTTTTTGTAAGTCTAAATATTGATTTTATGAAATAACTCTCCAGGAACTTTACTCTCCAGGAATTTTCATACTCCCTCCGTCCCGGAAAACATAGGAGTTTTGGTTTTGGAAAGGGATTTAAGGAGAGTGTATTTTGGTATTGAATTTCCAAAAATGTCCTTTGATGTGATGAGTAAAAGTATAATTTGATGAATAGATTATTAGTAAAAAGGTATGATGTGATAGGTAGGGTATGAAAAAGTAAGGGGTAAAAGTGACTTTTTAATAGAAATGAGAAGTGTTTTTTGGGACGGATGAAAAAAGAAAGGAGAAAGGTTTTATGGGACAGAGGGAGTATTATTGATAAGACTATATTATTTTATGAAATAACTATTAAAAATAGGCAAACATAGTAAGTTAAGTTTTATCCTATAAATAGTACTCGGAAAGATCTATAGCGGACGGAGGAAGTACTATATAAATTTTATCTCTAACTTCGAACAAGGACAAAATAGGACAACTCAAATATGTTCTGTTTTGTCTTAGTTTCGAAAATTATGGGATAAAGTGGGATAGGCTTGTGGTTCAAATTGTTTGAATATAACGGGACAAGACGCAGGATAATATGAAACCCGAATCGTCCTGTCTCGTGCCGACCCCTAGATCTCTGTTTGATTTCTGATAAGAAAAATGTTAGGAATGCACGAAATGTGTATTCTAAATGTACACCATTGCATCTCCACCATACAATCTCAAGTGTGGAAAAATCAAAAAACAAATAAATACTCAATGGTGAGCATGACTCTTTTCATAATTATGCTGAAAAGTTTCACTCTTTATTTTTCATTTTTGATCAAAATTTAATTATCTTTTTAAGTCTTTTTGAACAAGAAAGAGAATGTTAGAAAGAAAAAATAGAATTGATTGAATACTTGATTTGTCTTGCTTGTTACAGGGCTAGAGAGAAGGGAGTAAATACATGCCAACTAGTATAGCACTTGAGCTAAACATAAGAAAAGAGAAGTAAGTTAAGTTTGTAAGTTAACATCAGCGTGTGGGAGTTGACAGATGGCACGATAGATCTCTTTTCACAAGTAATGTGTGATCCGTAAGTCTTTGAAACTTCTTTTGAGAGAGAATGGAAGTATATGTGAGATCAAAATCCAGGAAGTAATGTGCAATTCGTAAGTCACAGATGTTAAAGGCAACATCAAGAAATTGTTTGAGGGAAGCACTAGTGGTTGGATCTGAGCCAGTGATCAGGATGTCATCAACATAAATAGCAGCGAAAGTGATCTGATCAAGCTAAGTGCTTTTTTTATTAAAAAGCAGTGGACAACGTGCTGAACCATTGTCCACTAGCTTGGCGAAGTCCATAAAAAGACTTCTTTAAGCGACAAGCTTTGGTAGAGAGTTTGGAAATCTCAAAGGGACCTTCATGCAAACTTTTTCATTCAAATCTTCATGTAAAAAAGCATTTTTGATGTCAAGTTGAGAGAGATCCCAATGTCTAGAAGCAGCTAAAGCAATGATACATCTAATGGTGGATATTTTACCATTAGGAGAAATTGTCAGCGAAGTCAATGCCATAGTGCTAGTGGCTCCTTGAATGATATACCTAGCTTTAAATCTATTTAAACTACCACCAGATTTTAACTTTACCTCGTAAACCCATTTGCTAGAAATGGTTTCAAACCAGGAGGTAGGCCAACAAGTTTCAAGTATCATTAGCATCCAAAGCTATTATCTCTTTGTTAATATATAGCAACAATTCATCTAGGATCATTTGAAGCCTCAGAATAAGAAATAGGTTTAGTACATGGCCGACCTGGGGATGGGCCGAGCAGCGCTACCAAACCAGACCCAATATTTTTGGGGGTCCAATTTTTTAATATTATATACACACACATATATACTCCCCCCGTCATCATTTCATTATCATAAAGTAACTTGAACCGAGACGGGGACATGGACGACTTATGTGGATACAGGGTCGAGAGCGTGAAACACCAATCTTTTCAAAATTTATAAAGGATTTGGGTCTGAGAACACTCCCAAGTATCCGAATGGAAATATTTCGGGGACGGGAAACGACATATATTTGAAGAATCCGTGTACCATAGATCATAAATATGATGCACAAACCTATGCATGATATAACTGGAGTAATTTAATTTTCAGCTGTCCATATAAATATATGTAGGGGTGGATCCACCTCATCCACCTTTAGGGAGTAGGGGTCAAATGCCCCAACTAATCATTTGTAATAAGGTAAAAAAGAATAATAAATTAAAATTTTATGTATAGATGTCCCCAACAAACATTAATGTGCTCCCAACTAATCATGTCAAATTTATTTTTTATTGTTTAATTTTTTGGTAAAGTGTATTTTATTGCATATAATTATTTGTGTATAAAATAAAATTTCACATTGCCTATTAAAAATGGTTTGCGTTTGATAAATGTTTGAAGCAAAATTCATCATTTATTTATTTTTTGTCATTTCAAATAGCTTATAAAAAAATTCTAAAACGCTGCTCTAGACCCCCGACCAATGGTGCCCCCATCTAACTGAACTTCTGGATCCGCCACTGAATGTATGCATGCATGCATGTATGTATGTATCTATGTATACACACATATAGACACACACATACGCCTTATCCCTTTAGTTTGTCCCCTGCCAAAGTAAAAACTCAACCACCATCTCCACCTTTTGAGTCACTGCATTCATTTACACGACCAAGGAACACAATGAACTGATGAATGATATTACTGGCAAAAGATTTGCCCTAAATCAAACTTATTAATTAAAGTGCTTTTGTCATTAAAGGGGGAAAAGGCAAGAAATCAAAATGTCTTTTATTTTGATAAGAGTTTTTTTTTTGTTGGTGCTCTTTGATTTGTGTGTTAGCTTGTGATATGAGAATTGGAAAGAATAAGAAATAGGGTAAAGAAATTAATTAAGGATTTCGATATCTTCCGAGTTTGGGAGATATCAATATAGGGGTCTGATATCTCTCTCAACAATTAATCATTCTCCGTCACCAGCTACCATTGTTACCCCAAACAAATTCATTTCAGATTTCAAAACCCATATCATTTCTCTTTGATTAATTTCATACCGGAGTAGCTCATATTTTATGATTTCTCCAAAAAAATTTACCAAAGGGGCCCTAAATTGAGTTAATTGGTTGGAAGTGGGGAAAAAAAAAGTTAGTGGAGAGTGTGAAATGGTAGCTAGGACGTGTACATGCATGCACATTCATTTCATTCTCATCTCTAAAGACATGCATGGCGTACCTACGGTCTCCATCACTTGCAACAAAAAGGTGCTCAAATTCGGTTGTTTTGCCGTTTGTGTTGAAACCTTAAAAAAAGTTAAAAGATTATAATGGATTTGTTCACTTGAAATAAAAATGACATGTCCAACTTTAATGTATGCTGATTAGATGAATGTAGATAAGGTTGTACTCCCTCCGTTCCTGAAGACATTTCTTGTTTTGACTTGAGAGATGCAATTTCATAGTTTGACATTCTAATTATACTTTTATTATCGAAGAAAAAAAAAGAGAGACAAATCATTTAAATGACTTATTATATCAATGCAAATTGAATGGAATATATTGTAAAAACTTAATTTAGATGTATTAGCCATCTTTTTACAAAAATGGAAGTGTTTTTGAAAAAAATGAAAAAAATGAAAGAGGAACTATTTTAAGGAACGGAGGGATTGGAGTACTATATAATATATTGTGTTTCAATATAAATGTAATATCAACGATTTCTTTAATTTTTGAAACATAGTTTTGAAATGTTAAGATTTTATAATATATATCTATGTATAAATATCGTTATCAATGGTCAAAATGCAGTGTTACATTGGAGATTCTGAAAAGTCAAATGAAAAAAGCTTGAGTCGAGAGTCCAGACGAAGGGAGTATTAAGTACTCCCTCCGTTTGGAAATTTTCTTCCCATTTGACTTTTTATGGTCTCTAAGATTGCACTTTGACAACTAATATCTTTTTTTATATACAGATATATTTTATAAAAATTTGATATTTGAAAACTATATTTCAAATTGAATATATTCATATTAAAGTGATATCGTAATACAATGTATTTTTCCCACATATCATAGTCAAAGTTTACAAACTTTTACCAAGAAAAGTCAAATGTGAAGAATATTTTCGGACGGAGGGAGTATTAGTGTTTGACATATATATCAAGGAACTAATTGAGTTTTATACTCGGTAAAAAAACTAACTTTTTTTAAAAACTAGATGATGTTGAAGTTTAGAT